TCATCATCATCATCATCATCATCATCATCATCATCATCATCATCATCATCATCTTTTCTTTCATACGCTCATCGGTCGATGAATGCGTGGACCCTTTTGGTCCCACCTGCGCCCCGAAGGGCCTTCCTCAACTAAAATTCTGGTCGAGGAGCCGGGCCAACGTCGAAGCCTTTGCTTCTGCCCGTTGATGGGATCTCAATGCCAGGTGCAGCATTGCGAACTGCCGCAGGCATGGACAGCAATGGTCTTCATTCATGCCAATGCTGTGGAACGGTTGGCAAGCGCACCATCTTGTGGGGTGTGAGCTTTGGAAAGGAAGTTCACTGCGCCTTGTTCTGCCAGAGAGCTGCTGTCTTCCCACAAGGAGCGATGGGCCACCTGCATGTGTGAGTTCAGGTCGCGAGGCCAGCTTCCACACGTGATGCACTTCTTCACCAATCGGTGGCAAAGTCGAGGATGGTCCACCAGCAGATCCGTGTCCATCAAATCCAGTCCTGGCAGCCATTTGCTGTGCCATTCGTCATTGATGGCCGGGTCATGGATGATGTTCTGGATCTTTTCCTGGTCCGTCAGGATGGGCGATTCGTCCGAGAGGGCAGAGACCTCCTCTGCACCTCCATGTGGTGTGCAGTTCAACCAAAGTAGACAGCAGTTCTCCTGAGCCACCAGTGGGAGCATAGAGAACTTCACCGGTATGTTGTCGTCGTCGTAGACCCACCATGAGTCACCGTCCTTAATGGCCGTGTTGTAGTGTCCCGAAGAGGCCTCGGACCCCAAGTGGAAAGAGACGCCAATGACGATGAACGGTATGTGGTCGACCTCCAACTTTGTGTTCAGGAAGTATGGCAGCCACACCTTAGAATCCCATGTCAGTCGAGTGTGACTCTTCCGTCCCTTGGAGTCAAAGCGGTCAATGTGCAGGCATGTGACGTCTGCTGGTTCGGTGAGGGCGTGTAACCCGAATGATGCAAGGCTCCAGTTGGAAACAAGACCTTGAAGGTCAATTGGCAGGGTGCTTTTTTGCTCGCTGCAGATGTAGAGTCGTAGTGGGCACCCTTGGGCATTGTGGTCAACCACCTTCAATTGGCCTTCATCCTCCAGCCGGCTTTCCCAACAACAACTGAGAAAAAGAGGATTGGTTTGTTGAAGAAGATGATGAGCAAAGTCAACCACATCATGCTGCCGAAAAGGATTGGGCCAGTTCCCATCCGCCCATAAAAGCATGGACTGCCCTTTGGACACATCTGCCAAGTCCCCTAATGCCCCAGGGAAGTTGGACCATTGGTCCGCCTTCAAACCATTGGCCTTGAGTGCACTCCAGGCTAAACCAGTGGCCGCTGAGTTCATGTAGCAGGCGGCTGCAGGATTTTGAAGCGTCCTCAGTGGAGGTGATGTTGAGGCCATCACAGTTGTTCCAGCATTTTGCCAACTTGTTGTGCAAGTGGTGTTCGATGAGAGCTGGCTGGGCGCATCCGTCCAAGCACTAGTTGCCAGAGTCCTGAATGACTGAGTTGGTGCCAGAGTCCCCTCATCTCGTTGGCATGAGTGTGAACCAGGGCCAGTGTGATCCGCCAGGGAATGATGGCGGACGGTGACTCCGTGTCCGTGGTCATGGCCTTCTGGATCTGCTGTTGGGGACGTAGGGCTCCGAATCTTTTGATCAGGGCTTCTTGCTGAAGCAGAGTGAGCATCCTGGTCACTGTCTGTGTGGCTTGCTGCATGGTCAGGGGCGAGTCCTCCTGAGCCTCCATCTGCTGCTTCTGGGAATTCCACCTCATACGAGGAAATATGAATGAGTCTCCCTTCTCTGGCTCGGGTTGCAGGAAGTTCAGGCGCAGCAATGTCTGGATCAAGGGATCGGAGGAGGCCGTGGATTGAAGTTTCTGTATTCTCTTCAGCAGTTCTTCCAGCAGCGTCTTCAGGACTAAGATCCTGAGTGGATGCGTCCTTTCCGCAGTTGGAGTCTGCTGCCAGGTCTGCGTCTGGTTCATCATGCTGGGAAGAACTGAGCCTGGTCCCGCGCTCAAAAAAACGAAGAAGTCCGTCTCCATGGCCAGGCACTGAAGCGTGTCTTCGTGTCGAAGAACGAGGCGGGTCAGTGCATTCAGGAGTGTTCTTGAATCTGGTGTGGACTCGTCCTGCATGTTCTGGATCTTCCCCTGCCCTTTTCTTCCTTTTCCTTTTCCCTGGCCCTTCGCGCCATTCGACATGGAAGACCTCGGGCGCTTTGCTGTCTGCTTGTCCTCGTCCACCTCCATCTTCACCCACTGATTCAGGGCCCCCCCACATCTCTGAGATCTGGTTGCCCTCCATGTCCATGGTGAAGAATGGCAAGGAGGCTGGCTAGCTGAAGGAGCACTGGGCACTGTACTGCGGTTTGATGACAGTTGCAAACTGAACACTGTTGCTGCCTCTTTTGGTAGAAAGACAGAAACTTGTAAAACAGCCCCCCCACGGTTTCCATGTTTTGCATGATTGTTCCAAAGATGTTGAAGCATGTCTCTGGGGTCAACCTGCCGTCCACATAAGCAGCACCAAGTGCTAAGGGCGGTGCAAAGTGTGCCATCTCCAAGAATTTCGTCAAAAACTCCCGTGGCGAGGAGGCTGTCCAAGTGTGGGAAGTTCATGGCAATGGAGGGGCTGAGAACTTGTAGGTCCAGCTTCAGTGCATGTGCCAAGATAAGCTCATCGCTGGCATCCTTCAGTTTGTGCAGGTCATGGTGAACAAAGAGGGCCAGCTGTGTAAAGACCGTGCAAACATGGGGAGTCGCCGGAGGTCTAAGACAGGAGCAGCCAAGGTTACGCAGAGCACTGTCAGTTTGAAGCCATTCAGCATACATGGTTGCCATAGTCCAGGAGGTAGAGTGAGCCGAGCTGAGATGCTTCAGAAGAGAGGAGGAACTGGATGATTGATGGCCACAAAGGCCACAAATGTATCCCAACCTCCGAATCAGTGACTTGTAGGCAAGTAGATGATCAAATGTGCCCCCGTGAAGCCCAGAGATGACCACTGGGTGATGCCAGAGGAGAGAAGGAGCATCCGGAAGTGGTTCAGGACAGTGACCTCCATCAATGTGATGCCGTAGTGCTGCAAGACAGAGAAAAGAGGCCTCACAGTGTGCGCATTGTGTCAGCCCAGGAACTTGATCCCTGGATGCAAGGAAAGTCCTGGTCAGGGTAGAATGAGCATGCTCCATGGATTGATGTTGATGAAGTCCTGCGGCAGTCACAAATTTCCTGGGGCATTGAGCACAAGCAAATTGAGCATCCATCCTCTGCGGAGGTTGTGGGACCGGTGGTGGACATGCCGGAAATTGTTCACGGTGTTTCCGGTAAGCAAGAGCGAGTCCCAGTTGTTTCTTCACAGGACAGGTGTGCGTTTTCGATCGAAAGTCCTGTCCACAAAGTTCGCATGGTGAGTTGGTTCGGACCCTGATCACATTGGGCAGAACCTCCCCCATCAGCGCATAGACATCTCCATGATCTCGACCCATGTGGGCAGACATTTGCTGCAGTCTCGAAGACCAAAAGCCACAAAGAATGCACCGTTGGGTCAGGAAATAGCAAAGGCCTCGATCATTGGCCAGGGGGGCCAGGTCACCTTCGTCGTAGTACTCCAGGAGTTTATGCCTGTGTTGTTGAAGAACTGCTGGTGGTGCCTTGGTCGAGTCAAATTCCGAACAGGAGAAGGAGTGAATATGGTGTCGGAGGTTTTGCCAGCTAATGAAGGTTTCGCCACAATGCCGACAGGTAGGTTTCCCATCAACCGCATCTCTAGCTATGTCCAGCGTGGGACCCTCGGCATGTAGAATGCCATGAACATGCAACTCATGTCGCCGCAGTGTATATAAATGTTGAAAGGTCAGCCCACATTGCTGACAGTCAAGTCCTGCCTCCGCCAAGGGGAGCTTGGGTTGCATATCCAGATCTCCAAGGTCCTGAAGCCAAGAGTCTGTAAGGTGAATGGAGCTTTGGAGTGTACTGAGGTCAAGAAGGTGGAGTATGTCATGCTCTTGAAGTGAGGAGAGTCTGTCCTCATGCCGCTTCAATTGAGAGGCCATCCGCTCCCGCAGGGAAAGCGCCGGGTGGCGGAGTTGGTGCTCTGTCAAAAAGTCCATGTGAGAAGTGTGTGTCATGAAGGAGTGGTCGCCTGCGGCCTGTCTAAGCATGGACGTCATGTTCTTGGAGAACAGAGGAATTGAGGTGTGATCTGTTCCAGTTGCATCCAAGCCATACACTCCTATTGGAAAGATGCATGTTTGCCATAGAGCCACCTTCTGAGCCGAGTGCATGCCGTTGGTCGAGAACCACTTCTGCATTTGTCTGAAACGAACTTTGCATGCGTGAAGCCGAGCTTTCATGGTGTCCTTTTGAAAATTGTTGTTCCCATCTGAACTCCCAAGTATTCGTGCTTCTCTTTGATCGGTATTTCGTGTGAGCCCCCTGCTTCTTGTGGTATACAAAGGACTGTGTGGTCGAGCTTCTTTTTTCACAAATTGCTGCCTGGCTTGTTTCTGTTGTTTGCCTCCCCATCTTAAGATGACGGCAGATTTCTTCATATTCACGGTCATGCCCAGCTTTTCAAGGACAGAAATAACGGTGCCAAAGTGTTGTAGGCCTTGATGAAGTTCTGCCATGGTCTGAAAAACAAAGCAGGCATGACCGTCATCTGCATAGAAGGTGCAGCATTCACGCATCCATTCTTCTGAGGATTCGTGTGCTATCAAGTTCAACACCAGTGCAATGAAGCTTGCCCAAAAAAAGGGGGCGCCCCGGCAGCCTTGCCTCACACCTCTGAAGGTGGATTGTTCGGCAGAGAGTCCTTTCCATTGAATCACATATGAGGTCTGTGTGTGCCATGTCATCAGGAGAGAGATGAGATCATGAGGAAGACCAATGAGTGAGAAAGCTGAGTAAAGGTGCTCACGAGGCATGGCATCAAAGGCTCCGGTGAGATCAAGAAAGAGCTGACATCCTCCAAACACGTGAGGACGTGTTGTCCTCTCATCTGCCCTCTGATTGGCGTCATATCGCCATCGATGATGAAGAGCTTGGACCTTCCGAACGTGTGCTTGAACCCGTGTGATTGCTTCCCACGTGCCTCGTCCCGGAAGGTATGCAAACTGTGGATACCAGGTCAGGGTTGGCAGTGAAAACTTCCTTGCCTCATGAACAAAAAGTGACATGATCGTCTTGGAGAGCGGAGTCTGAAGAGCAATCGGACGAAGCGCTTTCGGTTCAACCGGTTGTTTGTTCGGTTTGGGCAGAAGAACAACCCATCCTTTCCGCCATTCTTGTGGAATGAGCCCCCATAACATCCACTGTTTCACCCATCCAAAGACGAGTGACCCAATGGAGGTGGCCAGCGCCTTCCATACGAAGCTAGGAGCCACATGAGGCGGAACACTGGTGCGTCCATAGAGCGCATGTAGTCCTTGAACCAGGTCCGGTGCCTCAAAGGGGAGAGCAGCCAGATGAAAGTGTTGAGCTGGAAGATCAACTCCTGCATAGAGGTTTGCCATGTACTCTTGGATCCAACTCAGTTCCTCTTCCGGTGACATAAGCTGACCAGCATGCCGTCGGAGATGAGGCCGAGGTGGCCGTGTTTTTGGTGTGAGAGAGTTCACCACCTTGAAGTATTTGTGGGAGTCATTGTTGCTCCAGTGTCGCCTGGCCTGTGCAATGGTCTGGGCCAGCTTGTCTTTCTTGGCTTCCCTGGCTTTTTGGTTCGTGGATCTTTTCCAGGATTGAATTCTAACCACTTTGACCCATTTGCCAAAGAGCTGTTGAAGACGACTTGAGTAGATAGTCCTCCGAGCCACTTCCGGAAGGGCAAGTCCTGGATGTCCATTGGCCCAGGTCCAGAAGGTTGGTGAGGGTCGTTCTGGCTCCGACACAGGTGGTTTGAAGTTCTGACAACCGGCAAGGAGAATCTGGTTGAGAGCCTCCAGGTCTGGTTGATCGTCCCTGAGTCCAGTGATGGCCTCTTCCAAGGAGGTGCAAAGCCCTTGCCACTCTTCACTGTTCGAGTCCCAGTGCCGAAGGAGAAGTTCTTGTTGTCCACGAGGAAGACTGGTCGTCTCCTCTGTGGCCTGGTCCGTTGCCAGGTGCAGGTAGAGCGGAGGTGGTAGTAGACCTTCTGCCTAAAGAGCCAGAAGAGGGAGACAGCCACCGTCACAAAGGACAGGGAGTAGAACCGGAACAGGTAGAGGCCGACCACCTTGAAGTAGGGATCAGAATCTCGATGTTCCTGAGGATGTTGGGCAAAGTCCCGGTTGCCGAGGAAGTCAAGCAACAAGGTGATCACCTTTGGGTTGCCCATGGAGCGAGTCACGGTTCCGCACTGTCCCCGCGGCACCGAGGGCGATGGGGATTGAGCCGCTCATGGCCCTTATCATCATCATCATCATCATCATCATTTGCTTGGTTGGCTGTTTGCCTCGATTCTAGTCCTTTCGATGCATTCTTTTTTTCTCTCGGTTGACTGGACTGGAATGCTCGAACATTGTTCAACCTGACCACAGGGCTTGGGCGATTTGAATTATATGGGATTTCGGATTGCAGGTGATTCTCAGCATTTCTGTGGACCGTGGATGCTTTTAGAATGGCCTTGCCAAGGGATTTTCCCTCGGAGTTTGTTTTGAATCCCGGAACCTACAATCATCACTCTCCATGTACAGCGCCCACATTGACCCCTTTTCAACCACGCCAATATACTGCAATTGCCTTTCAATCCGTCTGGGATCCACCTGACTCATACAGTAGCTGCCTGAAAAATCGGCGCTTCACCAGCCGTTCGCCCCCCCGCAGTTCGCCAGCCCGTTCGCCTCGTGACCGCTCCAGATGTGACCAGCCTCTCGGCCGGGGTGCTGGTCTTCCGCGGGAGGCGGGGAGGACGAGCCGGAGACGACGGAGCCGACCGGGAGGACGTTGGGTGTGGAGCAAGCGATGGAGCGGATGGAGCAGATGGTTGGAAGAAGGAGAGGTTTGGTCGAAGGTCGAAGATCGACGTCAGACTGGTACTGACTCTTGAGGCTCGGCAGAAGGAGTGGGATGACATCTGGGCAATCTGGGTTCTTGCAGAGGTTAAGGAGAAGAGTCAAGAGAAAGCGAACAGAAATATATGATACAAGGACCTTAAGCAACAAGGACTATATAATGTATATTTCAGAAATTGTGTGAATTCCGATGATTTTTTCTTCTCCACCCTTGTATCAAACCAGTTTTGGTGCTGTAGCGGCAGACCAATCTGACACTGGGGTTTATGTTTATCTTCTAGCGATCCAGACACATCCTGTGGAAAAGTGTTAAGCGCAAGATGGCCACGGGGCGCTGGGTAGCTGTAAGACGCACCAGATATAGCTCCATCATACCAGTGAGCTGTAGAAGTGTGACCACTCTGTTTCTTTTGAAGATTCTGGCCTGGAACAACTCAAACATTTTGCGAAAAGCGTGTCCGAGGCTTGCAAACTGACTTGAGTGAGGCATGCAGATATATTTTTAATACTGCTATACTTGCAGGGTAGATAAAATGGTAGTGTGCACCATGTACTACACATCCAACTGGCAACGGTGGGCTGAGATGCTGGAATTTGTTTGTCACTGTATGGTGGTCCCATTTTTACTCAGGACCTCCGGACATGTGCAAGCCAGCAGCTCCATCTCCGAATCTGCTCCCCAAGACTCTGCTCTCTTTTGGATCAGAACTCTGACTTTTACTCTCTGAAGTCAATTTTTCATTTTCCACCTGACCGCAAAGCATGGAATTGTTTTTTTGTCTCCCAGATTTCTACCCTAACGGTCTACTTCATCGAGATCACCTTCTTCCAAAAACAGGCGGAGAACAGGCGAAAAGGTACCCCTGCCCCCTGCAGTGGGGATGAGAGGACCAGGTTGTGGACCATGAAGCACCACGTCATGTAGCGCACGGCGAATGAGTTTCATTCCAAAAAACCACCGCCCCCAACGGATGACGAGATGGTTTCAGCCGCGCGGTGCGGCCAGGCATCGCCTGGGGATTCAGCGGTGTCAAGGCGGGCTCGGTTCGGAGGAGCGATGCGTGGTGGCAGGAAGGCCCCCCAGGTGTCGTCCGTGTGGTCGTCCGTTTTGAAGGGACGCATGATATAAAGGAAACACAGTTTGTTGATGAGGAAACAGGAAAAAGTGGGTTCAACAAGGACACATACCCCTGGAAAAAAGGAACAGACACATGCATAAAAAACGGAATAGACCGCAAATCACCTGCATCCTCCTCCCTATTGGGAGATCCCTGAATGGTGAAGGAACAGACACATGCATAAAAAACGGAATAGACGCAAATCACCTGCATCCTCCTCCCTATTGGGAGATCCCTGAATGGTGAGCTGGGTAGTTCAGCGCCAGGACACCCAGGTTTGGGATGTTTCTACCTTGAAATGATGTTTCAGACCGCTTCTTGACCGAAAGAGAACTTCTTGACCGAAAGAAGAGAGCAGATGTGACCAGTGACATTTTGCAGGTGTGTACTGCGTCTTCCACACCGCCACCGCCCTCGCAGGGGGTCCGTTAACAGCTGCCAGCCCTTGTTGGCTGAAGTTCGAGGCGGCCACGCCAGGCAGGGTGGCGCATGTGGTCGTTGTTTTCACACAAAACATGACGAACGCCCTGCTGATCAACTCAGAAAAGGCCGCAACTTGTGGCTGGTATACGTTGAGTGAAAGAAATTGTTTGGCCATGACCATATGACCATCACCAAATGGGTCAGACAACCACAGCAGAATAGATCTTATAGACAGCTAAAGAACTACTGGGCGTGCAATCGAGACTGGCACATTGTATCTATCTATAGATATCATTGACAAGATCTGCCAGTCTCGACCGTTAGATTGTTAGATGTTACTAGTGACTAGACTACCTAGCCTGAACATCTCAACTCACTTGGGAAGAGCTCCTTGCTTTTGGGGGTGACCTCCTGTGTTCAGCTTGAGTTGCTGCCATTTGCTGCCCTTTGGTGAGGCGCGCTACCCGGTGTGAGCGATGACTATGAGGCTGGCAGAAAGCACAAACTGAACGACCGAGCGTGAACGCATTGTAGAACGACGTTGGAGAGATGCCAGATAGGCATCTCTGACTCCAAAATGCTGCCAGAAGCTGCATTTGTCGTGGAAGTAGCATGGTGCCCAGAGTGGGGCTAGTAGTCCCACTGGCGGTGCAACCTTCAAGAGTCTACCTATCTCTCCATTCTAATGTAGACCATCCAAAGCGGTGTGTACAGGGTGGTCCAGTCAAAGGTGATCCCATTTCCGGTGCTGGTTGGACACCTCTTAAGGTATCACCCGAGCTAAACTTCACAGGGGACACCCCAACTTCATATCAGTTTGGACATTCATCTACCAGGGATGCAACCAACTCAAATCTAGTGGTTTCAGAGTATAGATGGCCTGACTACGAACGGAGGCTACTTGTACGCTACGAGTTGTAGGGGTTCCTGGCCTTACGAACGGAGCAAGGACACTGGCACCCGTAAGTCCATGTCTTTTGGAGGTCTCTATAAACCACCGACCGAACGTGATGCCTGACAGCGCCATCGAAGCTCTCGAACCGAACGTGAACTGATCGGCGACCAGGAGCATGGGCAAGCTTGGCGAAGGCGCTTTGAGGCCCCCAGCGGTTCGGGCATGGCAGTGGTTTTGGCAGGTCAAAGTAGAGATGTGAAGCACTGCAACAGGACCAAGTAGATGTAGATAAAATACAAACATATATATATATATACGGTATCTATCTATCTAATCTAATCTAATCTAATCTAATCTAATCTAATCTAATCCAATCTAATCCAATCTAATCTAATCTAATCTAATCTAATCTAATCTATCTATCTATCTACCTATCTATCCTATCTATCTTTCTTATCTATCTATCTTATCTATCTTATCTATCTATCTTATCTATCTATCTTATCTATCTATCTATCTAATCTATCTATATAATCTATATAATCTATATAATCTATCTATCTATCTATCTATCAATCTAATCTAATCTAATCTAAATCTAATCGAATCGAATCTAATCTAATCTAATCTAATCTAATCTAATCTATCTATCTATCTAATCAATCAATCTATCTATCTATCTATCTTTCTTATCTATCTATCTATCTAATCAATCTATCTATCTATCTATCTTTCTTTCTTATCTATCTATCTATCTAATCTATCTATCTAATCAATCTATCTATCTATCTATCTACCTATCTATCTATCTATCTATCTTTCTTATCTATCTAATCTATCTAATCTATTTAATCTATCTATCTATCTATCTATCTCTATCTATCTATCTATATATATATATATCTATATATATATATCTATATATGTTAAATAAGACATACACAAAGCAAGCAAGGAGCCCTCCTCTGGGTCAGTTCACAGTTCACCAATGTCCACCAGTTGATTCTTGGAACCACTGACCGGAAAAGGTTGCCCCCAGTTTAGGTGGAAAAAGGTGACACTCCCTGGAACCATGCAAACCATGCAAGTGGATGGCACCAGTTTTGTAATGTTTGGAACATCATCATCCACGGGGCCCTTTCTTTCCTAGGGAGCCCTTCCGCCCCAAACAAAACTGACACGGACCCTGAGAATTGAGAGGTGGTTTCGACCATTTTATACAACCTATATATTAGTGGTTTTGAGGTTCCGTGTGGTCCGAAGGTCCGCAACGGAGTCACCTGAGAGCGGACAAGAGACCACCGGCCCAACCACCCACAAGGCCCCGCGACCGGAACGACCGCACGACCGAACGACCGCAGCCGCAGCCGGCCGAACGCAGCCACCGACTGAACCAGGAGGCTCTTTGCCACTTGTGGATCCGGAAGGTGGACCAACAGTGCCTTGGAGGCATCCTGGAGCTTGGAGGACGGACGGACCTGGCATGCCACGTTGATCGAGAGAAATGGGCCAGGCCACAAAGAGACGGTGGATGGAGCATTTTCATGGTTGAGCTGGTGACCTGGTGGTTGACCATGTAAAAGTCTTTGAGTAAAACAATGATTGGTTGAATTTGGTGAAACAAACCCAATTCGTTTGGACTTGAGGCTTCTGGTTGGTGTCAGGTGGTCAGATCTTGCGCCAGGTGTAAGGCGCTGCTTCGCCGATCGATCGGCTCCCGCGGAGGTCCGCGGTCCGTCGGTTTGCACGTGGTTCGCCCCAGAGAACCGTTGACACCGCCCGGGCGGAGGGTCCGGTCGATGTCCCATGGGACCATGGGACCATGGGAGTTTTCAGGCATTCCAAAGACAGGTTCAACACCGTTTCGAGCTTCTTGTCCTTCAATGTTCAATCCTGGCTCCGCCACCCTCGGCCGAAAGGTACGGTGATGTGTGTGTTCGACTCTTTCATGTTGGCGGAGGGTCAGGTCGTAACTTCTGAGAAGGTGGATCCCCGAGGGAGTCATGCTCAGCTCAGCTTGGAAGTGACCCGAATCGATCGAGGTTGGCTGAATCACGCTCAGCTTTGTTGCCCTTCAGCGAGGCTGTAGCGGACCGTTGGCCAAAAAAGGAACCAAATGAATCGTGTGAGTGTGAGCATGCGTGAGCTATCCTGCATCCATTTGCTAGTAGCAGGTTACCCAGTAGTTTGTTTAGCCCTTGCTTGATTTAGTAGGCCCCTACTTAATTGAGTTGGGCGGGTGGGCTTTAGAAAAAGACAGGAGAAAACGGTCGCACTGCAACTTCAACATGACCTCTTTGGGAGTGTCTAAGTGACCTCTTCAAGGACCAAGTGACCTCATCCGAAGATCTCAGGAGGTCACTTGGAAGGTCCTGGCGCCAGTGGAATTGGAGTGGACAACAGTCTTTGTTCGGGGCGGGGTGATGGTCGAATTGACGTCTAATTGGCTTCTGTCATAGGGAAAATCGAAACGGACGGGAGGCATCTCAAAGCTAAGCCCTCACTTTTGCGCATGCGAAACCCTCTTTGGGAGGGTGGGAACCACAACCATTGGGAGCGCATCCAGCTGGTGGGTGCCAGATGACAAGGCCAAGTTACGTACACTTGCGATGATACGAGTTGCAAAGCACACTGTAGGTGGTCATGAGCCTGTGTGAAGTAGCTTCCCACGAACTATGTACCACCGGTCCCACATTCATTTTCATTATAATTATTAAGTACCCCTGGCCCTATATATTATATGCTGTATATATAGTATACTATCTATACCCCTATGATCCTTTGGTAGACCATAATATCTACACCGCCTCCTTCCCACCTCCTCCTTCAGCGGGGTAGACTCGCGAAGTCCCGTCGGAGTGGCGCAGGTGCCGTCCCTCCTTCATCGCCTCCAAGTGGGATTGCTGCAAGCCTCTTGGCTTTGTGAACGTTGGCTTTGGGACATCAGGTTCGGTTCCTTGTAATACAGTGGTTGGCGTGTTCGGTTCGCACCAGTGAGCACAAGGTCGGTGGGTTTTGGGGAGACCCCCATCCAAAAGACATGTAGGGGATTGTGCCATCTACTCATCTACTCTGAAACCACTGTATAGTGCAGTGAAGTAGAGTCTTACAGGTTCTTGAAGTGGAGCTGCAGGTTCTTAGGTTCGAGGAATGACCTGCTCCTCGATCCACAAACAGCTTGTTCGTGGAGGCTCGTTTGGCCAGACAAACCGAGGCGACCGCCACCTGCAGGGAAAGGAGAGTACAGTATGGAGACTGCAGCGAAACAGACGTTTTCGAGTGTGAAGGAGTTCAACTTCGGCTTCAGAAATGGGTTTCTGTGCTTCTTTTCGACTTGGGCGTGTCGAAAAAAAGGAGCCGCGTGGAGTCCGCGTGGAGTTTTTTCTGGGCTTGCCTCCAGGGCTTTCTTCATTTGGAGAGGTCTGAGAATCGATCGATGAAAAACAACCCATGGTCCAGGGGTCACATGTCGGAGTGGCATTTGGTCTCTAAGCGAGTGGGATACTGGGCACCCCGACTGCCCCCAATCAGCGCCCAACTCCATGTGACCCCTGGCCCCTGGCTTCGTGGACTTCCGAAGATGTCATCGTTTCGCTCGGAAGACCCGTCCGACCTTCCGACTCAACCAGTCCGACATACTCCCCAACGACCACGGTGATTCGGTTCGTATGCCGGAACACGGTGTCCGGTTCCCATTCGGTTCCTTCACCAACCGGACTGGATCCCCCTGGTTGCTGAGGTCACTGGTTGGCCTGAAAAGGGTCCTGTAACAGGGACTCCAAAAAAATCACTTGGAAGAAGCAGGTGTTTTTTGACGCCCCATCAACCCCGAGCTATGATTAGACGCCGGGGGCCCTGGTTAACTAGATATCCCATGTTTGCAAGGTCATCCTGGTTCCGTCACCAGTCATGACCTAGGTCACTTGATCGCTTTGAGGTCACTGATTGGCCTCCAAGATAAGGTCACTAACAGGGACTCCAAATGCCAAAGGTCAGTCACCACCGAGGTCCCTAGTCCAACCCACTGAGGCTGGAGATTTCTTACAGGCCGTGGCCGCCCAGAGGTGTGCGAACGGTCAAGACGCGAACGCGCGCGCGCGCGCGCACCTCGGAAAAAACGCCTGCGTTGGGTCTGCGAGGTGTGGTGAAGTTAGTGGTGTGGTGCCGGCCAAACAATAGAAGAATGGTGAGAAGATGATTCACACCATAGAGCAGATGCCCTGACTGAAGGCTCAGCCAGACGATGGTTTTTCGAAAAGGCCAAGTTCACTAGGAGACTGTAGCGCCATGTAGCGCCACATGTTTTTGGAATCAGTCACTTCTTGCCATTTTAGGTTTTTTTTGGGACGCTGGATGATCGGGTCGTTGTTTCATCGGCTTTTGTTCGGCTTCTGATCCACTTAGTTGGCGAAACTCCCCATGATCTTGCCTTCCCGAGCCCGGAGACCAGAGATGGACTGACCGTTTGTCCGGGAGGATGGACGACCCATTAAAAAGACCCAGGTCCTTTGGTATTTTGTTAGGTTAAGTCATGGTAAATCTATGAATTGCATGGGAATGGTCATCACAATTTTCAGAACGAATTGGACACTTGGACCAAGTAAATCCAACACAACAGCACCCAGTCCAATTGTTTGGACGTAATTTTGTCTCATGGACTGATAATTATCCTGGAGTATAGATAGAACATGAACCAATCCCCAAAACACGACCCGTTTTTCTATTGTGTTTTTTTTTGTCCAGGATGACCATAGATCCGATTCATCACTTGCAGCTCCATTTCTTTGTGTTTTTGTAGATCCGTCCGAGAGCCTCGACTCTTGGACTTTGTTATTTCACCCGTCCACCTGCCGTAGGCCTCGAATTCTGGAGCTTCCCGCGCCGGAGGAGAGGGCCGAGACGCGTTGATTCGATGTCGAGTCGCTCGTCACGACAGGGTGGTCACCAGTCGTTTCAAGGAGGCGAAAACTACCAAAAGTCACATTGTCAGGGGGGCCGAACTTGGAGAAAGTCGGGGTGCCCATGATGGATCTAAAAACGGACCATCCCTTTGTGACTCATGGCATACAGCTTCAAACCTCCCATGCACTTGTGGACTCTTGGGTGCAAGATCGGGATGGACATGAACACCAAACCTAATTACATTGATTACTGACTCACCAGTCAGGACTACAGTCCCATGTCTTTTGGAGGAACATGAACGGCGAATCAGCTAGTTTTGCAGTAATATAATTATAGATATAATTACGGCCTTTAATGAAAGCACGTGTCTGACCTTTTTTTTTTTAACATTTATGTCGCTGAAGCCTCCCAATTTTGCTGTTCTGCGGTTTCGAGCGCTTTTTGTCGCCATTTTCTGCATCACTCACGCCGTGTTGTTTGAGGACGTCACAAGCTGAAGCTGCTGGCAACTGTGATGCATGGACATTGGATGCCCTTCCAGCTATGTCGGAACCCAAGCCACAATCATCAAGCGACACGTATAGAACATGACACTTCTGAAAGGCCTTTCAGCAACAAACACTGGAAGAGGTAGGTGTATTGATCTTTCCATCTCCAAAAGCTGGTGGGTCTTGCCGAACCGGTCGTTGCCCCGAAGCAACGACCGGTTCAGACGGCGAAGAACACATCCGCATGTTGGGAGAACCAGGCCATCCATCCTCGAATCCGCCCGCTTCATTCTGCAGTATACACACAGCACCCAGTGACAGGGCGGTCCCAGTCCCATGGCGTTTTGCTTTGGTTTTGATCCATCCATCCACTTGTTTCGTCACAGGGTGCTGGCAGGAAAGATGTTCTCACGGTTTTGGGACACAGTTCATCTATCCAGCAGGGCTGGCCAGGGGCTGATGTAACATCTCAGAATTCACAGTTCCGAGCAACACAGCTGCTCGCTGCTCGCGAAACCGCATTGACGAGGAAAGGCATGGAAAAGCGGAAGTTGCTAACTGCGATTGAAGCTGACGTTCATGTTTTACTGCAACAAGGAATCCAACCGCAAGGAGTAGATCTCAGGACACTGCTTGTATGTTTTTGTATGTTATAGTCATAGTCAGTATGTGCCAGTCCCAGGTGGAAGAAGGAGCAGACAGCATAGATCCACAAGTGTTACGGGCACCCTGCCACCGAAAGGGCCATGAAAATCCATGTCGGAGACCTGTGGAATCGAGTGATATGATAGAAGTCTTTCTGACCCGTGCATTCAAACATCAGTGATCATGAGTGTATTTTTTAAATAGGGAGACCCCCCACCGGGTTTTGGTCCATTTTCCTTATGCCAGGTGTCGGTCTTCCTATATTCTAATACACCCATGTCTTACCTCCTGGTTCGGTCCCCCCCCTTTTCCCTTCAGCTCGCCATGAGACCCAACACCGGGTTTCGACCAGGTCGAGACTGAGGGGGGACACGTCGTCATGGTACCGTCGACCAGTCGACACGTCGATCATTGATCTTGTAGATACCATGGGGGCTATAGCTAGTACATCTGCATCCGCCAACCGATCTTGAGCACGCGTTCCCACTGCTGCGGTATGGAAGGCTTGAGGCAATCTTCCTGGCTGGAGCCAGCACTTGCGATGGATGTTTGCACATAGAAAGAAGACTCCACTGGCTGTACTGTGGTTGATTGAAGAGTTACCCTGCGGTATGTGGACATGACCCATTGCAATGCTTTACACTCCTTGAAATGTTCATTGAGGTGGAAAACCACCTGTTTGTAGAGGAACATGGTCATCCAGGGGTCCATTTTCCACCCACTTCCATGATCATTCCAGGGAGTGTACCCTTTCTTTACAGAAGCAGGTCCCATCATGCTGGAGTTGAGGGGTTGCTCGAAATCGATTCCTTCCAGGGTATTTTTACATGTTTCAAAAAACAAACCTAGAAACCTTTGCCATCCAATTTGATAGGGATAGATCATATTTTGGGTGGTGGTCTAAAATAGAGGTCACTCAGGGTCTAGGTTTATCAAGGTACATGATGATTTTTCCCAGGTTTCTACGAAGGACCCACGAACCTGGCGACCATGGGTCATGCGACCAGGCTTTCACACATGGCATTGCAAGTCCCACAGTCCGGTCGCGTGGCGATCTGGCGGACCGATCCGGCTCAGCAAAAGAGATTGATTGGTGACCCAAACCCAGAAGATTGAGACCAGACCGCTGGGGATGTGATGCTGTGCTGAAGATGTGCAGACTGGGATGGTCATTGCTTGCACCAGTGAAGTGGTAGGATTCAGATGCTCAGAAGCGGAACTAGGCACGGGTTCAGAATGTTCAGATGGACTACGCTGCTGACATTGTAATGCTATATACATGATCATGGGAGATAGGTGTTTAGCCAAAGTTGGTTGCTTCTGTGGCTGTGGCGGTGATGCCAGAAACAGCTCGCGGGGGCCCCCTTGCACGTTCTCATCGGCCATTCTGAGGAAACTTGACGTCAAGAACAGGTCAGCAAGTGGGCCTCCTTGTTTTCACAGTGGATAAGGTTTTCTCTGCTACACTCCCAAATAGAGAAACAAGAGCACTGGCAAAAGGCGGATCCTCAATCCGGAGTTGTCCGTCTCAGTCTTTTTACCACTATTCCTACCACGAAAGCCCACAAATCAGCTTCATTGGTACACAGAAAATACGCCTTCGCTGGCTTCAGCCAACATGGCCATGGACCCCTTGGCCTTGGCGGGCGCGGGCCTCGCCATCCATGCGGGGCTGGATGGCATGGGTGTGGCCGGTGACGCCGGCAGCGCTGGCGCGAGTGCCGTGAAAGCGGAGAAGGCGAAGGTTTTGGGGTGGCAGAATTTCGGGCAGCGAAGAGGGGCGAAGTAGTCCAATGACTTTGGGCTGTTGCTTTCCACGTCAAGACCTCCACATGGTTTTTTAAGGAAAGCACTCATCGCTTCATCTTGTTCTTTAAGTCGTTCTCGTTGTCTCTCAGGGCTCACAGGCGAATTTTTCGGTGCTCCAACCTTTGCGACCTCGCTGCTCCACCCTGTTGGCACCACGGCCCGTGGCGCAGTCCTCTCCTCTCGTTGAAGGCCCTTCATGCACGGCCTTCCTACACCGCCCTCGGACGAGCTCGGACGAGCTCGTGCCCGGTCTCGGTGCAGGTGGATCCCTTCGGCGCGGTGCTCGCCGGCTTGATCCACCACATGGGCGAGGTGGCCGAGCGGCCGAAGCCCACGGTGGCCTGGTGAAGAAGCCGTTGGATGGGGATGGGCTGGTTGGAAGTGGCGGGGCTCGCGGCGGCTCGCTGTTCAAGGTGGGACTGTACCACCACCCCAAGAAACTCGGAGTTGGAACGGTCAACATCGGCAAGAAACGCCAACAGTCGAGATTGGTGCGCAAATTCTGCAGAAAGAGATCGTCTGAAGCGTTCTTGGGTGTGGTCCATATAGGACTTCCATGTACCGTCCGGATCGCACTTTGTTTGGGTGGTAAGGGTATTTTGAGGTATTTTGAATGATGTTGATCACTAAGGTGAAACATCTTCACCGAAGAACCGCCGGTGATGGGAAGAGTGCTGTCTTTCCGACGGTCGATGACGATCGATGCATTAGACGTTCTCTACCAGCATCCGACTTCACAGGCCACCAATTGTTCAAGCTGTTCAGGCCAGGCCCTTCCCAACCCTCGAACGAGGCCCTTCCTGTGAAGTCGGATGGCTCTAATGAGTGAGGGATTGAGTGGACCTGATTTGAGCAATTCAATGCATGTTGAATATAGTGGAATCCCAGGAAAAGCGTATCCAACAGAGGTTGAAGAACCCTTCACTAGGCTATCCCAGTTCGGTACCCTGGTAGTGTCCTATAAGGTCGCTGGACCTCTGTTAGTCCGATCTCCGACCTCGGACACCCTCGAAGGTCGGCCCCCACACCGCTGCTCGAGGTCTGGGGCGCCGAGCTGGACGATCCGGAGCTCGGGCCGAAGATCGCCTTGGCCGCCGAGGAGGTCACCAGGGGGGACGTGGACCGGAGGGCCGGGGTGCTGCTGGAGAAGTGGGTGGCAGGTGACTAAGATGGGGCGAAGAGCCAATGAACCAGAGATGACCTAAGATGTGGTTCGGTTTCGCATGGTTTTCGCTTCTTGGGATGGGCCCTGGGCCCTGTGACATGGGAGGCGCTGAAAGGGATACTTGGTCTATTTGGTTTCTTTTGGGGCGATGCACCTGGAAATCCGGGAACATTGCAGAACCCTGTCCTCTAGAGTGGGACACATGCACATATCATATCATATCACTGACATGGTTACCGTGGTTTGCCAGATTTCTTTTGTAACTCTTTTTCTCAGAGTTCGAGATTGAACCGAGAAGGGCTTCCACAGGCGTGACTTCGAGCGACAAACAGGTCCATGTTTGGGCATACTTGCAGTTGTAATCAGTTGTGTACTCGCACAGTTGATGCCCTAAGTATCCCTAGCTGGTTTCTTGGGGCCAAGTTTCTTTTTTCAATCAATCTTTCAATCTTGTGAGACCATTCTGGCAGGGGGCTTTGTTCACCACAGTCAACATGAATCATCGCATAAAACAAGACCGCAATGCCCGATGGAAGTGGAAGAGGTTTCCTGACACAGGCTTTCACGCACACACACACACACACCCCAGCAGCAGGTTAGGACTTAAAGAGGCCAGCCATATGTGGCTGTGGATCAAAAACCTGAAGCCCAAACCCTGATAGGTCTGATAGGTCGTTGACCTCTCAGTGGTCTATTCTGTTCATTTTTGCGGTTTTGACCAAAAGCCATAGAAGTCAACGAATCTTTGTCATTCAAGTGGCGGTGTTTGAGAAAGACTTTCTAGATCTCGCTAACCCTACTGTCCAGAGATAATCAGCATCCACAAACTCTTTCTCTTTTGCATCCTTTTGCACCCAGAGGCGATGAAGAGCATCAAGGCTGGGTCTGAGAAGAGAACCGGGTGTTGGAATAAAAGGCAAAAAGGTTTTATAGTGGCTTTTGAAAAGAAAAAGAGGACCGCACGACATCGACCTGACATAGAATGGGTTTCCAAGGCCAAACCAGAAGTGCCAAACAATCAAGACCCTGCCAGGCTCCTTCCAGGCGCTAACCCCTCTCTGCAAGCCCTTCCAAGGCCGACTGGGGGCCAATCTTCGTCTACGGGCCTATGCTGCTGCCAGCGGTCTGGGGTGAGTTGATTGGACGAGTCCCTGACATGGCCCGGTCCTCCAGTCCCGCGGGAGGCCGCGCGGACGCGCGCGCGGAGGCCGCGCAGATCTGCGAAAGAGACTTAGTGAAGACCAATGCACCAGGAATTCCGAGTGACATGGATCTTGGAATCTTGGAGGGCACGGTTCCGCTCCTTCAAGTTGCTTGCGTGACCCTGATGCAATCAGTTCAAAAGGCAGGTTTCAAAGGCAGACCCGGACAGATCTTGAAAAGGAATCTTTTGGCACTAAAAAATGTTTTCCAATGCCAGGCCAATGTGGATGGATGCTGAATCACACGATATCCGACTAAGGAAGATCGAACCGCGCAATGGACTTTGCTTTCATTCTTTTTGTCAGAACAGGTGAAGCATGTCTACTATGAATCTTTGATTGTGGCACTCTCCTGAAGATCTGAAGCAGGTAGAACCTGTAGTAACATTTACATAAGAATAAATCAGTCAATATAATGAGTTTATATAGCTGCTATAGTAGCTGCTATAGCTTTGCCGGTTCGTTGGATTTCAATGGTGTTTGTTTGTGAAAGACACGACCACGGAGTTTTCTTTGCTACGACGGGCCCGAGGGCCCTAATCTTACTATCTGAAAGAATCCAACCATGTCCATCCACAGGAGCCTCTTGCCAAGAGATATATTACAAGTTCGGTTAGCTTTAAATCATCTATCTAACATGACTGTCATTGCTCCTTCTCTCCTTCCAATGTTGGCATCAAACAGCTCCCCCCAAAAGCACCTTTCGGATTCGGACCCTTCCTCCCTTTCACACCAATAGGCTCTTCATCCCGCTCGCAGCGCTGGAACCACCGAGGCGGCGGCGAAGATCTTCGGCTTCCTCCGGCGGGGCCTCACCTGTTCGCCCGAGGCGGCCCTCATGGAGGCCCGTGGCGGTGCGGTCCCGGGACCTCTCGCGGTGTGAACGGGGGGGTCACCAAAGAAGTCGCCCGGCTGAAAATCATCTATAAGTATGTCCTTTTTTTTTAGTCATGTGTTGCTCAGAAGAAGCTTCGCCAGATGAATAGCTCCGCAGGTTGGCGTGGGGTTTCGGAACTTGATCCTGGTTTCAAATATGCTCAATCAATGATGTTCAAAGTCTTTGCTGTCCTTATCGTGACAAGCGTTTCAGTTTATCATTATACAATTTGGATATATTATTTAACCAGGCTAACGCCTGGCAGCCGCCGACCCCCAGGGAAGTGGCTGGAAGAAACCCTGGCAAAAGACCTGAAAGGCACGAGTAAAAACTAAGGGCACTAGCAAGGAACAAGGCCGCGAGCAGCCCGGGATTCGAGCCCGGGGACCGTGCTTATTTTTCCGCGCGGTGGAGAGTAAAACTGACAAAAACCTTAGAACATCCTAGAAATCCAGCAGACAACGTTAGAAAATCGAGGAACCCAAAAAGACAACACGGAGGCCCTAGACAAGCAGAGAAAATCCTAGAAACATCCTCGCACAAGGTACGAAAGGTATGAGTAAATCTTACAGAAACCTTAGAAAATCCTTGACATCCAGCGGAAAACGATTGAAAATCGAGGAAAATGGGTTAGCATTTTTTGTTGAAAATCTGGGAACCCAAAAAACAACATGGAGACTTTAGACAACCGCAGAACTACCTAGAAGAACCACAGAAAATGCTGGAAAACAGAAGTGAACTCTTATCTCGGTCCAAACGTTGAAACTCCAGAGGTCCAAAACTTGGCCCAAAACTCCAGAGGCGTCCACCGTTACGGTCAGCTTTTTCTGAGGCGAAGTGGTGGGTGTTGTCTGCTTCGACTCTCTCTTTCTTCAATCTCTGGAGCATAATGAGCCTAATGAATAGCGCTTTTTTTCGTTTCGACCGGCTGTCCCACCCAAAACCGATTGACTATTTCTGGGTGCCCCTCACAAGGCAACGGAAGAGTACGTCTCCGCCTGAACCATCCAGACTGGACATATTCACCAGGCCTCTGAGGGGCCCTCAGCAATTTCTCTCCCTGCAAATGGATGGATTTGTGATGAATTACGTGGATGAGTTGCAGGTGCGACGGTCAACCGAATCATCACTGCCGAAGTGATTTGCTGAGAAGTTGGGGCACCGAGATCGATTTCCTCATGCTTTGAGGTCTTTGGATGAGCTTCCCATCTCCCAGGTCTTTCGAGCTTTGAAAGGCTTTTGGAAGGGCCCTCTGAAAGTCCATTGAACCTGGGTGAGCCCAAGGTGACGGCACTGCCTTCTTCGACGTCTCCAAAGCCTTCCCAGTCTCGTGTGCAGCTGCCCTCCTGAGTGCAGATTCGGATGAAGGAGTGTGGCTCAGTGCTTCTCAATCTTACATCGTGGCAGGTGTTTTGGCTAAGAATCATATCCACTGTGAGGTACATTTGGGTGCATCTTGCAGGACCAAAGTCGCAGTGCAGCGAATCTCCCAGGAACTATCTGCAATCCCGACACATGTGAGCAACAGGTTGCTTTAGGGTAACCCCCAGCCATGCTCAGCCCAGGACCTGCTGCGAGCGAGAATCGCATCATTGGAATTGGAGCAAAGACTCGCAAGTGGCCGCCGGCTTCAAAGAAGCTGGCGGCCACCAGCGCTGCAGCTGGAGCTGTGATGTCACCTTCGTTTGAAATGGGTGATCGCCGGACACACCAAGGAATACTGGGCAGAACGTGCGCTCTCCCTTGCCTGGCACACCCTCATTGTAAGCTTTGTAGGCAGACTTTGCGAATTCCTTGAACAGTCTGTCCAACACAAAATTTCCATGTGCAGCACCCTTGTTGTACTTTGAATACAGCTTGCGCGGGCAGGAAGTATACATGAACATCCTTTGCAAGGAATTGTGGCCAACACCTAGGAGGCTCCCCCATGAAATTTGCATGATGGGCTTTCTGCGGTGTCCAACCCCTTCGTCACCATGCAGCATGTAGGATGCAAGGGATGCAATGTGACAAGTCGTTGGCGTGGTCCTCAAACACTTTGTTCCATGGTTCTAAACACATCCATTTCTCCCAGAAAGTTTCCAGGGCAGCAGTCCAATCGGACATAGGATGGTTCAGAAGCTTTTCTGAAAACTGTTCTGACTGGAGGACAAATTGGGCCATGTCATAATGTCAATCACGGGGTGGTCCACTTTCTTCCTCCTCTTCTTTCTGAAGGGAAGCTTTGCGCTCACAGGATGCACCTGCAGGGATTTTTGGCATGGGAGAACCCACTAATTTGTGGTTTTAGTGCGGGGCTATCCACCATCCCATCAAACTCAAGATACTGCTAAATGCAGCCTGATGACATTTCGCAGCTTTGTAGGGGAAAAGGAAGAGACCCTTCGATCTGGAGGGTTTTTGAATTTTTGATATGAGTTTAATAAAGGATTTTATATACATAATTTTTCTGGATGACTTTTTGGTTTTGAAGCTCTTCCCAGGTGACCCTATTTTGGACCACCCCGATTTCAGGGACCCCCTATTAAAACAGATGCGCCCGAGTTTCTCTTAATAGGGGGGGGGGGCGTGTTTTTTAATAGGTGGCCAGGATTAACATGGAAACTCAATAGTCGAAGCCACAGTAGATTCTCAGGGACCAGCAGAGCGTCATTTCTGGTCTTGAAGCCAGGTGCCTTGGGTATCAATATTCCACCATGGGAGCCACATGATGATTGGAAGCAATGCGTCGAGGTGCGCCAGCGGAGTTGTCCCCACCTTCCGCAGGGCTTTCCAGCTTAAAGCGTCTTTCATGGAATGCCGGCCCGCGATGTGTCGGTGAATCACTGACCTCTGGGGACTTCTGCGGGCGAACCCGCCGAGCGGCTGTCAGAGTGGCATAGCATAGAACTCATCTACAAATAAACCACGGCATTGTCCCACAGGAAGGCGCAACTGAACAAGGAACAAGACTTCATGCAACCCATAAGATCAAAAAACATAAATAAAAACTATATAAGAACCAACAAACAAATCTGCAAACAGTACTTTGTCATGATTTCTCCATCAACACGCTGCTCCCGGGTGTAACGACTCGGCTGAGGCTCCGGAGTTCCAGGTCGACGTGGTTTTGAGTTCCATCATTGTGGACGCGGACTCCGGGGCATGCCTTTAGTTTCAATGTACACATTTCACTGATGTCACTTTATTATATGACCCTTTCATGATCGCAGAGCCCTCTTGAGCTATTCAAAAAAGGACGTCGCACCGACTTTGGTAGCGGAGCCCCGGCCGTCCGGGGCTCCAGCTGCGCTCGCCGCCATAGGCTTTCCGGCGCTGTTGCGCCACCCAGCGCGATCCTGGGCTCTTTGCGCGCCGCTGCGCCGCTCCGCCGCTGACGGCACCACGACGGTGGTGCGAGGCTGCCGTACCAATATCCTGGCATTTTTGGCCTGCTACTGCTGCAACTTCCTGGTCATTTTGGCCCCTGTGGAGGCAGCCAATTTTGCGCCCTCTGAGGACCCAGGTTACACGATCAAGAAGGTGAACGACCCCTGAGCATCGCTTTTTGATTAGGATCAATCTGGTGGTATATGTTTTCGATTGATTTTCCCAAAGTTCTGGAAAATCAATCGAGAAAATTGTAGTTTTTTTTAAATGATTGTTTTTGAGCGTTTTTTGAAATGATTGTTTTTGAGCTCTTTATTGATTTGGTTTTTGAGCTTTCTATTGATTTTCATTTTGAGGTTTATTGATTGTTCTCTTGATTTTTCTGCAGTTTTTTGAAGCAATTTTGCTTAAGGTTTTCTTGTTAGATATATCAAATCCTAAACAGTTTTGGCTTTGGGAAAGGCCACTAGACATGGCCTCTTCCAAGCTCCCTGTAGAGGGGGGAAGAGGAGGGGCTAGGCATTTTGCCAAGCCCTATGTGGATAGTGGCCTGGTGCTGAAGGTGTTGGAAAAGAGCTCTGATGAACAGCCAAAGAAAGTGGTTCACAAAGGGGCCAGATGGCAAGTAAATTTTACAAAAACCTTTGAAAATCCTAGAAATCCAGCGGAAAACGTTGCAAATCTGAGAAAAACCAAGGGCACTGGCAGGGACCAGGCCGCGGCCAGCCCGGGATTCGAGCCCGGGACCATTTAGGGACCGTGCTTATTTTCCCGCGCGGGTGGAGAGGGTGCCCCAATCCCCAGTAAGAAGCAAACCAATACATTTGGCAAAATCATGTTGGACACATCTTGCACAAATCTTGCGCAAATCTCGGGACCTTTTCGTCACTGCAACAAGGCTCCGGAGGGGTAGGGGAGGTATAGCCTTAGCCTTCATCAACAGTCACGCCTGACCCCACGACTGGGGTCGGCGGATTTTTGCATTTGGATTGTCTTTACATTGGTTATTCATTAGAGAACGCATTTTTAATTAAAATCTCATGAACATACCACTCTGGTGACGACTGTCGTTATCTGTTGGACCGCGAGAGAGACGACATACCTCCGGAGGAGCACGCGACCGGGCCACGTGAACCCAGCGAAGCAAGTGACCGCACTTGATCCCACCGGCTTGAGGGCACTAGCCAAGCTGGTGAAGAGACGCGCCCCGAATCACCTGAATCGCCATGCTGAAAGACTCCCCAAGGAACGGGGGGGTTCCTGGTGAAGAAGCTGGTAGAGGTCACTTGAAAGATTAGTAAGCCGCAATCAGAAATGCTTCGACCTCGGAAGTGGGTTCCTTGTCGACCCGCGTAGGGGATGACTGTCTGACTTCACGAATGTTTGTTCTGGAGCCACTGGGAAACATGTTAGTTGATGGTGTTATAACATCATATGACATCCACCTTCAATGGGTCACGAACGTTGAAACCAACAACCGAAACCAACGACAGCTGGCCTCCAAAAGCATCCAATGACAGCTGCTACTGGTGCAGTTGGTGGAACCCACCTACATTGTATTGGGTGCCCATGAATGAATGGGTGAAGAGTAATTCGGGGAGATACTGCAGTTCTATGATGTTCTGAGGAAAGGTTTGTACTCATATATAATATGGCACAAAGGATACTAAGAAGAATATACCATGATATTGTAGTAACAAGTTCCAATTGTAAGGAATGCGCTGTACTCGTATTGACTCTGACTCATATAACAAAGAATAGCAAGAAGAGATTAGAAGAGTTATTGCTATATGGTAGTATCACAGTATCACTATGTTCCCAGGTGCTTTGTCACACTCTTCACCTGGATCGAAGACGAGTGTAGCGAGAAGACCGGAACCGGGCTGCCGGGCCGCCTTGGCAGGAAGAGGCTGCTTTGGCCGTGGGCCAGGCTCTCGCGCGGTGAACGGGCACGGAGCTGTTATGAGGAACCAGCTCTCACCGGATGAGACCAGCGGCCGGTCTTTGCCATCCCTTTGCAGCGAGAGAAACGCTGTGGTCCAGCAAACCGAACAAATCCTGTTTAGGAAACAGTCTATATATGGGTCTACAGTTGAGGTTTTGAGACCCAAACTATACTGACAATGGCCCACTGGATCCTCCATGCTGTGAAGGGAAGTTGCCAAGAACATGTCGACTCGAAAGCGGCCACAGACTCGTGGCAATACTCGTGTGATTCCGTCCGAGGCGCGTCGCGTTGGGACACGTAAGGTGTCATTCCTTGTAAATCTTTCGCGGCTCGGTTTGCTGTTTTATGAATGGCTCAACTCAGAATGGGGGGTTTTAACTCTATGGTGATCCAGGTGCTACCCAGTTCAAGCTTTGGGGGTTTTACTTGTACTCGGCTTTGTTTGATCGGGTGTCGGCCCTGGGAGTACTTGACCGGCACTTGCCTTTTTGACCTTCAAAAAGGCATACTCCAGATATCTCCAGCTGCTATATTAGTGCCTCTAGTAGTGTCTCTTTATCATGCTCTGTTAGGAACATCACCATGAGGTCCAAGCAAAGGGCTAGCTGAGGTAGCCAGCCTCATCCGTGAGGGGCCTGAGGTATGACCAGCACATTCCGGCACTGGCTCCACTAGCTCCGTCGTCTCCAGGTGGTCTATGGGCTCCTGCCATGGGAGAGGAAGTTGGTCGATGCGATGATGCTGGGCAGAATGCTCCGACCCCTCCGACCCCTCCGGGCGCGTCGCTCGTGCGGCGCCATCCGATGGGCACAGCCACGACCTTGAGATCGGCGGGGGTTGGGTGGAGTGGGATCCACCAAGCACCAAGCACCAAGAATGACAGCTTTGTGGAGCATTTTGGGCCGTAGTCAAGATGTGCTCCAAAAACCAAACTGTATGGCATGCTCGAAAGGTATAGTTATATAGAAAAAAAACTGCATACAATATACACATCGGTTCCGAACGATTTTCATCTCACACTCACTTCTTTGTAGAAGATGTGCACTTGACTCGGGGGTTCAAACCCTTCTCTGGCTCCAGGTTGGATCAGTAGGCCTTAACGTGGCCGTATCAATATCGGAAGTCATCAGATTTGCTTGTACTGCAAGGTGCATACAGCAGACATGCTTGTTTTCCTGCTGGCTCTTGCCAGCCGTTTTGACTCGTGCCGGCTGGCCGGCCTCTCCGAGTCTAAGAAACACGCTCTTGTCATAGATGCCCTTTCCTATTGGTTGGTGGATTAGTAGAGGGTGCCCGCGGCAGATGGGGATGGGTTGTCGTGACCCACCAAGCTCACTCGAAATCGGCCACCGAGTGTAGCGACCGACCGACACCGCCTGGTCAACCAAGTATCCTGGTTTGGACCCACAGCCAGATTCCCAGGATGGAAGACACCTTCACCATGACCAAAGGCTTTGTGAGGCTCATCGAGGAGACGATGACCATACCTCCGCTCGATGGACCCGATGAAGAAAAACCTCCCCAGATGATAGGAGAGGTCAACAAGCAATTGCTGGAGACCTGGCAGTTGATTCATCGACAGTGTGCGTGAGTCTTACCGATCGATGGGAGGGGAGCAGACATTGCCCTATCATAGGCATGGTTTCTGTCACCAAAATCACATGCCCCTCCATAGCAGGGATCCGGACTCTCACTACCTTTTCCATTGATCCGGACTCTCACTACCTTTTCCATTTGAGGGCCCGGATTCTTAGGGTGTTTCGTTTGTTTGGGACTACCAAGTATAGATCTGATTTCGGGCCCAGGTCCCCTCCTTTAGACTTCCGCCTGCGTCTCCGTGTGTGTCTCCAGCAACAAGGGCCGCCACCCGGTCCAAGCCAGGACGAGCAGCAAGAGGATCTCGAGGTGATCCTGTACCTGTGGAAAGAAGAATTCCTCAATGGTGTCACAGGCAGCTTCTGCAGGGCTGCAGGGCTTCTGGAGGGCTTCTAGAGGGCTCAGGGCTGGGAGAAAGCTTCGACCGATCTCGTTGCAGAGCTCTTTTCCAGTGGGTCGGTGGTTTGTCTTCGACGATTCTGGATTGCCAGGAGCAGACTGAAGCTGTCTGGCCTGAAGCAGAAGGGCTTTGGGGGGATTCTTGTTAGGGCTTCTAACTTCTATAGACTCAGGTCCAGCTGGGATCCCGTCCTCTCCGTCCCTCTCCCGCAGACCACGACTGGTCCATCGAGACCTTTGAGGCGCACGGCACGGACGGAAGAGTGGGACGGACCGCGGCGGACACGGCGTGTTGTTTGGACTGGTTTGGAGCACCGGTCCAAATTGGAAGGTCCGAATAGATTTTTGTATCCAAATAGGGAATGCTCGAGGATGCAGCGCTTTTTCGTCCTTAAGAAGGCTGGGGAGGATTTCTGAGAGTGAAGCTAAGAACATCTAATTAAGGACTCGTGACTTGTGGAGATTCTAGGCATTCGCTTCAGGATCCGGACTTCCAGGAGGTCCCTTATGGTCCCTTTGTTTCTATAGGCATTCGGATGCTCTGGACGGGAGGCCGAGTGGATGGTCGAGTACCTTCAGCTTTGCCACTTGGAGCTGATGAGACGCGACCGGGTCGCGACGGCGCGACAGACGGATGAGAAGGACCGGTGACCCCGAGAAGGGACCTAAGGACCGGTGACACGACGGCATATATGGGACTGGCAGGACGGACTGCCGCCCCAGCAAGGCCCCCGAAGCCACGCACCACTCCTGGCCGTTTCTCGGCAGTCCGTCCTGGCAGTCCCAGACAGGTCGTGTATGGGATTGAGAAGAGACACCGTGACCCTACAGGAGCACCTCTACGACACGGGCCCCGCGCCCTCGGGTCACGTGTCGAGACGACGGTGTCCTGCGGTGAATCACCTCGAGACGTCTCGAGAGGTTTCTCGACCGTGCGAACGTGGGGTTGCCAAGCGTCTGGCGACCAGGGATCCACGGATTTGGCATCTTGATTTCTTAATGGATCAATGAGTTGATGAATGCCACGTGAGCCTATCACCTTAGTGCAAGGAAGGTTGGTGGTAAGGTGTTGGTTAATGCTGCATGTTTTTGCTTCAGGAGCGACTGTACACTGTCTTGATGTTTGACAACTCCTAGCGTTTGCGTCACCGGTAAGCGCCAGCATGGAGTTTCAACACAAAGCCTCACACTGACACCATAAGTCTTGCTTGTGCTTCACATTAGCAGGGAACGCCAAAGGACACAATCCACTTGGTTGGCTAGAACGTCTATCCGAAGCATCTCGAGGCCTTCTAGAAGCAGTATTCGGCGTGCTTCTTGAGCGCTACGGTGGCAAACCAAGGCCGTGACATGCGACAGCACAAGCAGTTGGAGGCCATGGCAGATGAGGAGAGGGAGATACTCTAAAGGCAAGCAACAAATCACATTGGAGACGTGGTTTTAGTACTTTTAAACATATTTTTCTTAATTGACTAAGGGTCGAACAAACTAACTAGCCTGTACGCAATGACTTCTCTAGTTCATGCACATGCAGGGAAAATGACTACTTCGAATGGACAAGTAATAGATCTACCAAAACGATCATCATCGATCCGTTGTGACGTGACAAGGGACTACCTCGTTGTGCACGGTGAGTTCCTCGGCCTGACCACACAGAGTCGGAGCTGGGAGCAGCCAGGAGCTGAAGGCGGCCACGATGACTGGCCGGCGCCTGCAGTTGGGGTGTCCCAAGTGTTCGAAATCCGCAATCCGAAAAGGACCCCATGCCAGGGCTGGTCCATTGGTCTATATGTCTTTTTTGTTGTACCAGGAACTCCTGCTGACCTACAAACCGTGGATTCACTGGGTGCACAACTATGACCTTTGCCATGAGATCAAATTGATTCATCTCCGTTCTGCGGGCTGTGGCCTGCCCTGGATTGCCGAACGAAGCAATGGAAGATGGGCGGGTGAATGGTTCTTATTGGTGAACGAGTCAGCGTTTTATGCAACACGTGTATCTGCTTGTACGAACCTTTGCACCTGTCATTCTTCAGGCTGTATAACCACGATTCTTTCATCAAGTTCATCCAATTCCGTTCTGGTCTTTTAGACCATATGTTCGAACAACAACACTGGAGCTTTGGGCCAGGCGGCGGTCGGACACGGGGTCTGAAACTCTGCCGCTTCGCTCAGGAAAGAGGACGAAGGGGCAGTTCCAGAGGAGCGCAAGGGTCTCCGATCTCGTGGGTTTGGGATGTCCCTTCCCACTTGGTGGTTTCTTCCATTTCGTTTTACATGGACCTGTTTTCGCAGCGTCGAGATGCTTTTGGTGTTTTTTTTT